CAAGAAGTAGTTACAGAAAAGTTTATGTTGGCCCTTATTAACAGGCTGAAATGTCTGGTTCAAAATAAACGGGGGACAAATAGCTATCTGCATATGCTATTAGCATATCAAAGCACATGCTGGTTCCAGGTTCTCAGCAACACAAGGACCTGTCACAGGGGGCATGCCAGCATCTGGCCCCTCAGCTCTTCTCACCCTGACCTCTCCCCTAAGCTCCAGGTCCTGGGCTTCCGTCCCACTAGCTTCTCACTCCTATATAACCCTGTCATTTTGACCATGGGCCCTCTTGGCTGTCTCTCGTTCTCTCCCCACTCCTCTCTCATGGCCTGGTCCAGTCTATTGACGTCTAGTCTACTAATTTCTCTCCCTGATCTGAACTCTTCCAGATGCCTGTGGCTGTACTCTCCCTCGTAGCTACACTAAAAACCTCAATTATACCGTGAGTGGCCAGGTGTAGTGCCATCTTGCCTTGCCATTGAACTTCTAGTGGTGAACACACCCTTCGGGCATGGTTTCAGGTGCAGATGTGACCCACTGATGTAGAGGAGGGGGTGGCTCTTGCTCTCTTGGGTTGCAGAGAGCAGAGACTGCATATTCTGGAGCAGGAAGACCTTGGCGGTTATTTACTCTTATCTGTGTAAGTCTTTCCCTAATAAACACCTATTTATCATTTGTCTCAAGTCTTGTGAACTTATGTAAACCCCTGTCTTTAGTCATGTCCTTGCTTTATACACTAGGAGGTCAGTTTTGTAATAAATTCTAACACACTTCCCTTGGACTTAGGAAGGGCATGGCTTTGAGACATGAAGCTTGTCTAGATGCTGTTTTTTGGAGCAGTTTTTGTCTATTTTTCTTCATGTGAGCTGGGATTAAAGGCGTGCGCCACCAACGCCTGGCCATTTCTCTCTCATTTTTACTTTTTTTTTTTTTTTGAGACAGGGTCTCACTGTGAATCCCCAGCTGGCCTGGAACTCCTTATATAGATCAGGCTGGCCTCAAATTCACTCTCTCATGGAGTGCTGGAATTATGTGTGCCACAACACCCAACTTGCCTTATCATTTTGAGACTGAATCAGGAGTCTTCACTGGACCTGGAGCTTCAGTGATTGGCAGATGGTCTGACAGGCAAGTTTAAGGCCCTACCAAGTGCTACACACTGCCACCGCCCTGTGCTGGGGTTACAGATAAAAAAGCCACAGCTGGTTTTTCCATGGTCTCTAGGGATCCCAAGTCATCATGTGTTAGCAGCATGTACTTTACTGAGCTGTCACCCTGACCTGTTTAGTTTTTATTGCCCTTGAGGGCCTGTTCAGGGTGACTTGGGGAAGGTTTAATAGTGAGGAGCACACACATGGCAGCTTCTCCTTCCCTTTCATCATTGGCTTGCTGTACTTACTCCGTTCCCTGCCAGCTGGTAGGTTGCTCTGTAAGTAAGGCATCTCCCTAATAAATACCAATACCTGACTCCGTATTGGTAATTCACTCATTACGGAACAATGGCCCTCAATGATCGAATAACCTCAGTCACTAGCGATGCTTTGCCACTCTAGACTCATTCTGTCAACTCCATTTTTTAGGGAGGGGATTTACCTTTGTTGACTTGGCTGTCCTGGAACTCACTCTGTAGACCAGGCTGGCCTCAAACCCATCGATCTGCCTGCCTCTGCCTCCAGAGTGCTGGGATTAAAGTTGCACAGCACTAGGCCTGGTTTTGTCAACTCCCTTTCTTTTCCTGGCTTATTTTTCCCTTTCATTTTAGACATACCCTGTTACAGGGCCCAGACTAGCCTTGAACTAGCAATCCTCCTGCCTTAGTCTCCTGAGCCTAGATTACTGGTCTCTGAATTACAAGTGTGCACCACCATACCTGGCTTTCCAGTGACGCACATGGGTATATCTTGTTTCAGACTGCATCTCTAGTAACACATTCGTAACACCTTGACACTTCCTCCTGTCTCCAAAATGCTCTTACATTTTTTTTCTCTTCAACTATTTCAAAGTAATGCCCATGTACTTAATTTGGCTTTGTTATTATGGTGTCTTGTCTTTCCTTCTTCATGCCATACATGGCTGTGGAAATCAGGTGAGTTTTCTACAAACTGGATGCTTCCTTGTGTTGAGTCTACTCTGCACGTCCATTCCTGGAGCTCTTGGTTTTAAAGAATTTGAAAAATGAACTACTGTGTTATCCTGGCAGTCCTGCTGCACTCTGTCAGGAGGTGGCTACTGTATGGACACTCACATTTTTATTGAGGTTAAAATTGATCAGGGGTTCATTAGTGGTCACAAAATTTCTCACATAAAAACTCTGGTATTCACTGAGGGTCATTTTCGAGGCCCATTATTCCTCTAATGTCTAGAAAATGGTGACTCCGCCCCCCCATTCTATTTCTTTTTTTTTTTTTTCTGCATTTACTGGTTAAATTTGCTCAGGAAACACAAACAAAACAAAACCCACTTGGATTTGATGAACACTTGTTGACACTTTTTCAAGTGGTTCACATGGAAGAAACAAGTAAATGTTCACTTTGCTTCCACCTGCTAGTTTAAGATGTTAGGCAGGCATGGTGGTGTATATTTTCCTCTCAGCACTTGGAGGTAGAGGCAGACAGATCTGTGAGTTCTGTCTGGGCCAGCCTGGTCTACACAGAGACCAGGTCAGCCAGGGCAACATGGCAACACTGTCTCAAAATATAAATAAATTTATAAACAAAATGAGTTGGTACTCTACCATCATCTATTGCTGACTAGATTGTGGAGCCATAACCATGATAATCAAAGTACTAACAGACACATGTCTAGTTGTGAAACTTTTTTTTTTTTTGTTTTGTTTTTTTCGAGATAGGGTTTCTCTGTGTAGCTTTGAAGCCTATCCTGGCACTCGCTCTGGAGACCAGGCTGGCCTCGAACTCACAGAGATCTGCCTGCCTCTGCCTCCTGAGTGCTGGAATTAAAGGCATGTGCCACCAATGCCTGGCCATGAAACGTTTTTATATTTGTGTGTATGAGGTAGGCATCTGTATGTATTTATGTTTGCATGTGTTTGGGCACATGTGTGTAGGTGAACGTGCACAAGGATGCATGTGGAGGTCCTAGCTTATCTGTGGAACCATCTTTGAATCACTCTTCTACTGTATGCACTGGGGCAGGGTCTCTTAATCCAACCCAGAGCTCATCAATATGACTACTAGGGTCTTGCTAGTCAGTCAGCTTGCTTTGGACACTCAGTCTCTATCTCCAGAGGCTGGACTTACAGGTGAGCTGCCTCATCTACCTGGCATTTAACATGACTTCTGGAGATCCATACTTGGGTCCTCATACTCACACAGCATGCACTTTAACCACTAAGCCAGTTCCCCAACTCCAGTATTTACATATGTATATTTGTAAAAATGAAATCCTTAGCTGGCTGTCTGTCTTGTATGCTATCCTTGAGACTGTGTGATTCACCTTGAATTTGGTCAGAGAAGGGATTCTAAATGATCTGCTTTTTTTTTTTTTTTTTTTCAATTTGAAGAAGTCATTTCCTCTGATTCTTTAACGCTTAAAGTTTACAAATCCCACATTCAGGAAATTCAGTCTTTTTTCATCATGAAGTTTTTGGTGCAGCTCAAGTGACAAAAATCTCCCAATTAATATAAGCTGCTAGATCTTACCTAGAAGAAATTGCTTCGAGGTTTAGAAATGCAGAGGTGTGAAGGAAGCATTTCTACATTTATTACTTCCACAGGATCATCTTCCTTTTATACGAACTGACAATCATAGACATTATTTATAGGATACATGCTACTATGACTGCTAGTCTGTCAAGTGCTAACTATTTCCTTCTTAAATCAGTTCGATTATGCAGTACTGCAGGTGGGCTCTGAATTGGTGTCACTGGTCCCATCTTGTAGTATTCAATTTCATGTAGTCTTCTGGAGTCTGAGAACTTATTTTTAACCAGTAGAAAGTGCTAAAATGATGTGATGTTTCTTTTATGATTAGATTATACAGATTATAACTTCAGTCTTGCTAGCTGACTTCCATCCTGCTAGCAGCCACCTTTCTTGGATTCCGCAATCTCATTAAAACAGCAGCTATGCTGGGGGGTGGTGGCACACACCTTTAATCCCAGCATGGGGGGGGGTAGAGGCAGGTGGATTTCTGTGAGTTTGAGGTCAGCCTGGTCTACAGAGCAAGCTCCAGATCAGCAAGAACTACACAGTTAATCCCTATCTCAAAACAAACAAAAAAACAAACAAAACAAAACAAAACCAGAAGCCACACTGGATGGTTGTGGCCAGGAACTTCACTCATCTCTCAGCCGATGACCATCCAGAAACTGAGGATTTTATCAGCTCTCAAAGAATTCAGGTGTTTGAGGTGTCTAACCTGGTACCTACAATGTGGATCCTTCTCTAGTTTTAAGCCTTCAGATGACAGCCCAGCCCTAGCTGAAACCTCAAGGCCCAACTAAGGCTTGCCTGGACTTTCAATCTACAGAAATTTTTAGATAATAAATATATATTATTTAAACTACTGTTTTTCTAGTAATTTGTTACAGAAGAATAAATATAACCTGTAAATACTGTTATCAGCATTTTGACAGTGAGCAAAACAAGGCATTAATATTTAGTGTCCTATCCAGTATGACAACAGGAAGAGAGTAGTTAAATGGAGATGACAACAGAGAAGACTAAAGATTTTCCTCCATTCATCAAATTATTCTTCCACAGGAATTTGCTGAAGATAGGTTACACTCAAGTGAGAATGGAGGGCTTTTACAGCAACACAGTCTTTCTTTGCTTACTTAGAAGCATGAAACAAATTATTCTCACAACCGGATTTCCTGACATTTTGCAAATGTCACACAGAGCTGAGGTTTTGCTTAGGTTCCACCGTGGATCTTCTGATGCTGGGTGAGGTGGGAGTGCTGTCGGAAGGCCTTCTTACACTCCTTACATTTGTAGGGCTTCTCTCCAGTGTGGATCCTCTGGTGTTGAGAGAGAAATGAATAGAGTCGAAACGCCTTTCCACAGTCCTTGCATTGGTACGGCTTCTCCCCCGTGTGGATGCTCTGGTGCTGACTGAGCTGCGAGAGCAACCGGAAAGGCTTCCTACACTCCTTGCATTGGTACGGCTTCTCCCCCGTGTGGATGCTCTGGTGCTGAGTGAGCTGGGAGTAGAGTCTGAAGGCTTTCCCGCATGCTTCGCACTCAAAGGGTCTCTCACCGGCATGAATACTCTGATGGGAGATGAGCTGGGGGTAACTGCTGAAGGTCTTCCAACAGTCTACACATTCATAGGGTTTCTCACGGGTGTGGATTCTCTGGTGGCGAACAAGTTGCTGCCTCAGTCGGAAGGTCTTCCCACAGTCCTTACACTCATGGGGTTTCTCCCCAGTATGAATACTCTGATGGACGGTCAGCTGTTGGCATATCCTGAAGGACTTGCCACAGTCCTTACAGGCATAGGGCTTCTCACCGAAGTGGATTTTCTGATGCACTCGAAG